AGAAGCAGATAACTAACGTGAAAATTGTGACAGTCTTTAAATTATCTTTATATTCGACACATTTTTTTTCTTACGACTGCTCGTAGATCTCGCCTTTAATTTCAGCGTAAAAGCATTAACATCCGCGCGCAGATCGCTACAACATTATTTCTCATCCGTCAGTTACACTCGCGATGCGTTTCACTTGGGCTGTATTGTTTGATGATTACGGATGAAGCTTTATATCCGATCAATCACGCTTGACGGGTACATTGGGCAGCTGACTCGAGTGGGTTAATGCGTCCATCGATTATAGATGCGCGTTTCAATGATGAATCCGCGTCGGGATCGATTACCGAGCAGCGCCGCGCTGCTGTTAACACACATTTAATCCGCGACGCGATATTTCATGATGACTTCCGGCTCTTTTTCAAGTCGGGACCTCGCCGCGTCCCCGATTTTTCACAAGCGCTGCCGATATATCGATCGCAATTACGAGGCGCCGCGCATTTTACACACGACGCGTGTCGAACAGTCCATTATCGCAACGATTAATTCCGATGAAATATCGGGGCCAGCAGTTTTGATCGTCGCGATATAGCGTTGCAGCAAGAAACAATACGGGGGCTTGCGCGAGGAATGTTTTTACGTCAACATTCCTATCGAATAAATGTCTGCAAAATTTATAGGTATGCAAAAGTTTCCCCAAGTTCCGCATTTAAACTACACCACGCGCAATTCTTACTCGGGGCACACGCTGCGTGGTGAACAGTCTATTTTTATGACGATGATACACGTTGAAAAGATTTAAAGACATCTCCTTAATTTTTGTTTTTTATTCCCCGATCGTTGCCTAACGAGAGGCATTTCGCTCAATAGGAAACGCGAGCGGCAAAGTTTTTGCAACGTGTCTATCTCCCGTCGCCCGCCCCGCTGAATTTAATTTACCCCTAAACAGTCGGCGGCAAGTAGAAATGCCTCGGACGAACTTTCTTGCTCGACCCACTTAACGATTTTACGTCCGGCCGCTGATGGGCCGATGGGATCGGCCTCAAAACGAAACGTGGCGGGACTGATTTCGCTTTTTCGCACTGAACCAATATCAACTTGAGTGTAATCAACGCCGACATTATTGGCCGCCCTTCTTTTAACAGGCAATCGCTATAAATTTTTCCCTATCGCGTGACTCATTATTGCCTGCAACGTATGCAGAATCTACTACTGTTTTACACTATTATATTATTTAATTTTTTATTGTTAGAGAGAGGGAGAGAGAGATAACACTTTTAAATATTTTTTCGATCGTATTCGTTACCGCGCGTTTATCATTTACACTTTATCCCGCTAACCGATCGTTGATACGCACAATAAAATGCCTCGCTTAATTGTCGGAGGAAAGAGAGATATTAATTGAACGCGAACGAGAGAACCCGTTGAAATTTATTTGTGAAATTATACGCGCGTAATAATGGCGATAATGAAACGATTTATTTTTTATATGATTTCAAACAGTATCGCCACGCCGCAATGTTCTATTATTTATTTTCACAAGTATTTGATAATTTGCATATCTCGAATCAGAAAATTATTATGAGCATTATTACTACAAACACAAGATGCTTATATTGCATTTAATGTTGGCGAGAAACTTGCTGCTTTGTGAGATATAATAGTGACGTGTGAAAGAACAATTTTGTACATTTTTATGCATATATGATAAAGAAAGATTACATGCAATTATTATGCCTCGCGGGCTACTATAATCCCTTCATTCCGCGAGTTGCGTGAAAGAAAAAAAAGAAGACACGACATAAATGTGATTGAAAAAGATTCAAAAAGTTACAAGTTCTGAAGTTCAGTGGCTTAAATACTTAAAAATTTGCGATGTCAATACTTTTTAGGATATAAAAATTTTGAAATTTAAAACCTCTATAATTTTTTTAAATACGTTGTTTCAACATCCTGAAAGTACGAGAATAAAAAAATTCTAGAATTTAATGATTTAAACATCCAGAAGATTGAAAATTTAAGAGCTTCCGGGGATCCGAGGACCGCAGAATCCAAATGTACAGTGTGTTAGAAACGCGTTGGAAAGTTAAGGATTCAAGAAGCTAAGTTTGCTGTGTTTTTCGGTCGAAATGCGTGAAACATTGCAAGAAACGCAGAAAATTTGACAGTGCCTTCGACGTACGAGGTGCATTCTTACCGAGTTACAGCGAGATTGCGTCCGTCTGGGATTGCGAGTCACGGGGCACTGAGCTTGCAAGACACATCCAGGCCAACAGACCGCGCTTGCAAGCCTCGCGACTCGCAAACTCGATTCTACGACTATCGTCTCTCCCTTCCACCACCGCCCACCGTAACCCTTCACTAATAGTATTTTCCTTGCTAAATTTTCTTGAGTCACCGTGAAAAAAGATTTATCATAAGATTACGACTATTACTTGTTAGAGACTATAAATAATTGACTAGCGCGCTGTGTACGTATCTATTTTTGGGCATTTATCTTCACGTTTTTAAATCATATAGTACAGAGGAATTTAATTTAAAGACAGGTCTTTAAATGTTTAGACAATAATTAAAATAGTATGCTATGTCTCGGAATCCTCAAATTTTGAAATTTTCTAATGTTGAGTCAAAAATACTCAGCGCGATTTTATGCTCTTTCCTGATTCTGCAACGTTGAAATTCATTGAATTCAACGAGCATGCACCTGGAAAACTCGAAAGCTTCGTGCTACAACTTATCGCAAAGTTTGTCTTTTCGATGCGCTCACAACGAATGCGCGATCAATGATTGCGGAATTGAATTTATGCCAACGCAGTTACAGCTTTTCCCGAACTAATCCTCGATTTCATCCAGCGTCGCGTTTAACGACCGCCAAAAATACGCGAAGTCGGATCTATCCATTTATTCGCGTCACGAACTCTGCACAGTGCGTCTCGGTGGATTTTTTTTTGTCGATTGGCAATTATCGCGAGCGATTTGTTCGGACTATTTCGAAACACGGGACAACGATGCGAAAGCGATTAAAACGGAATAAATAGTAAATCCGCATGCCGGACGACGATAGATCGGCGAAACGACTTTTGCGATCCGCACGGCGTTTCGGTGCAGTATCAATTTGTCATTATTACACTTTTGGGAGGGCTCTTTCGCTAGTGCCGGCGCCCGTATCGTAATACGGAGCTGGCGATTCGCGATGGCGATTAGGCGCGGAACGACGCCGTAATCGTCGACACGAAAGGAACGAACTTGAAGCTATCGATGGTAATAGATAAAAGCGCGCCGATTGACGGGCCTTGACCGAAAGCCACCAATGTTTTCGCCTATGTGATAGTCAACGCGCGGAATGATCGAAAAGTTACATGCGCAACCTACAGTTATTACGGTGATTTTAGCTTTATTACTTTAATATTGCACATGTCATATCACGCAATATCAAATATTCCATTGTCGTAATTGTCACGGTTGTTGAATATGACAACATATTTTAATCCTGCCAGTGTTTTATGAGAGATAGCGCGAATAGATCTTTGTAGTACATTCTATAAAAGACACTATACTATACAAAATAAAATTATTTATATTTCGCGCGCGGTCCACCTCTAAACTATAACTTTTTTATTCCGACATTGTAGTGCCAGCGAGAAACACGAGACAATTACTAAATCACATTTGATTTGTTATGCAACGAGATGTCCGTAACAACAGTTAATAATGGTTTTTTATGCACTTTTGTGAATAGCTGCCGCCACCTGTGCCGTACCACGTATATATATTTCAGTCTCGTGACTTTTCGATCATCCTGTATCCACATTTCGCGTACGTGTATTCGCGTGGTGTTCGCGAGCAAAGGGCACCACGTGAGGGTGTTGATTTTCCCACAGTTATCAAGGCGGACAGGTTATCGGCGTTCCGAAGGCTATCTGTTCGACTTGCAGCGTGATTAAATTGAAACACCATTCTGCAAAAACGTACTAATAGCGACAGTTTTGTGTCCGACATGAATGTTACACACCAATTTATATTATACCGCAGTTTTTATCAATTGTATCACGTATCGCTACATATATTGTACGATATATGTAAAATATTACATATTCTTTTCCAGTCATTAATATATGAACACATACGCATAGATATTTGGCCCAAAAGTACAGTCTGCTCGAATCGATTTTACACATTCTTTTTAATATGAGTCAGTACATGTTTGAAATCATGATTTGATGCGCGAGAAATTGGTTCTTTAAAAGGTTCTTTCTGCTTCATCGATTGTGTTAAACGTTTTATTTTTATATAAAAAAAGAGGCAGATATTATATGCCATTTGTAACTTTGCGTTGTTTACTGAATTGAAAAACACAAAGAAGTCCGTGAAGGAATTGATCGTTGGAAAAGGATTAATATATTCGCGAGAGGAAAACCTCGAACCGTAGCCGGCCGGTGGCGGGGAAAATAAAAGAATACAAGCAAATTTTATCGAGACTGCGGTAAGGTGCGGCGAAATTCCGGTGGCGAAAGGGAAGGCACGTGCAACGCGATTCGCAAGTATCTTCCCGAGTACTTAGTACAAAGTATCGGAGTACTTCTAGCATCTTAAGCGGCGATCGGAAAGTTTCCTGTCGATAGTATCGAAGAGGGCTTGCAATTTTCGTCGACGTTCTTATCGCGTTAGCCACAGTATCGAGGATTATTACAACTTTCGTGAAGAATAATGAAGAAATATGATATTATCTAACGTGACTAATTTATTCTTTAATGGTTATTAAAATTATCAGGGGTGTATCATCTTATTTTCTGAAACGTTTCCTAGAGTAACAAACGTGATGTATCTACGATAATCTGCGGACATTAAATTAAATCGCTATGCGGTTATATTCCATTTTTTTTGCGCGCGCGAATGGCGCAAGAAGTAAAAACGAGAGAATGTACTACTTTCAAAGTCATGGTTAAAAAACTTCGTGCGAGTGCTCGTTTTAGAACAGTTTAAAAAGTTTTTTGTCGGATGATGCGTTTTACCTAACTGTCACGCGATAGATCCTCTCGTGCTCGCTCTTCTGCTCGATTTTTGAAAATATTCCTTCGCAGAGCCGTGGAATTAGTCCTGGATCCTCCTGAAAAAATTAAAGGATTATATATACTGACGAAGTTATCGCACATTAAAAAATATGTCAAACGCTTGGTTTAAGTATCCGCTATTTAATTGTGACTTTTATCGTTATAGAAGAAAGGTTACCCGGGAATACGATAAAACCTGCACGGAGAGAATTTTTTCTTAAAATTTATCCTGAAAATTATATAATCGTGGGAGTGGCGATCGTGGCGCGGAGGATTGTGCGCTGGTCTGATAATCCGAAGACCCGGGTTCAAAACCAAACAAAAACATTGTTGGTTTTTCGTTCGATCGCTATATAGCGAAGTGGATATAGAGAGAGGTGTTATAAGAGGTTTGGGCACGTTCCTTCGAAAACGCCTTGTAACCCTAAGGGGAATCAATAAAATGTACTAGTACTTTATAATCGTGGGACAACATGGCATTTCGAAGAATTTTGTGCCGAAGTACCGAAGTGTGGTGCTCTTGTATTATTGCAGGGCGGCCACCTTCAAGTGGTGTTGTTTTTCCATGGCAAATGGTGATTACTATTGGTGATTACGATTGGTCTTTCTGCTAATTTAGATATTAAGGATGATCAGATCGTTTCCCATTGTATCTCATCAATCTTGTTGGTTCGACAGATGCTCAAACTAGTTAATGACAGTTCAGTTATTACATCAGGTAGTGAAGCAATACACCCATTTAAAATGATTGGATCTATTAAAATTCTAGTAAAATTACTAGTAAAATGTATGGTAAAATTTCAAAAAACTCTCATAAAGTTCTTCAAAATGCAATGTGGTCCCGCAATTACATGATTTTCGGGGTAAATTTTAAAAGAAAATTCTCTCCGTGTGAAATAAATAATTTCATTCGTGGCGAAATTTATTAAAAATATTAAAAATATGAATTCTAGATGATCTAGTTTGTTAGAATTACGCGCAATATGCGTTTCTATAAGTACGAAACGGCCGAAATGTTTCTATATAAAGTGGAGAGGGATGAGCAAAAATAGAGTTTGTTCTGCGGGAAGAATGAAGGGATTCTGTCAATAAAGTCTATTCAGATCGGAAACAGCGCGCGACACCTTAACGAGGGGAGGTTCTTGTCAATTTCGAAATTTGATGCATTATTAACCAGCGCTCGAAGCGTCCTTTTATAATTGAAACCCGACAAACGAGTGCGCTGTACAGCCGCAACACGTGCTGCGCTTTTAAAAGTCTGCTCACCCATCCTCGTTCTCCGCCGCCCACCTTTTCACCCCCGTACCATGCATCCCCTCGCACCCGGATGCATCTCCCGGCCGCCCGCGCGCGAATACGCCGGCGGAGGCCGCCATACAATTTAATTAAGCGCCATTCCGCAAAAACAGTTTCAATTTACTGTTTGAAATTTTCGGGACGAGAAACGGAACGTCGATTCGATCCGGCAACGAGCTCTCTTTCTCCCTTATCGGCCAATTAAAGCGATGCGATATAATAATTTCACGAATGGTATTGACCGCGGGGGGGGGGGGGCGGAGAAAATACGAAGTGGGAAAAGGAAAGCAACGGATAATCAGGTCGATGCTATTTGAACTCTAAATATGCATCGGCCAGTTTATGCAGAATGCAAAACACCTAGTTTCGCGAGACTGTTATACGAGAGCGCTCGAGCTGATGGAAACTAAATATTTCCTGGAAAATTCATCCCGTCGATTTCACTTCGTTTATCAATATGATAGGTAAAAGAGATTTCGAATGAGTACATTAATGTAATATTGTATGGGTGCAGATGAAATGAGCTTTGTGGCGGTTATACGAGATCAGAAACCAGAAATGTGAAGATGGAGAACGGTATTCCTGAATAAACAAATAGGAACTTTTAATTATTTAAAGCTTTTATAATTAATGATGGAACAATAACAGAAGTGGAAAACGTAGCAGCTATGGAGAAAAGTCAGAAAAATGTATAACAAAAAATGATTTAAAATAATAGATGATATCAAAGCAAATAAATAATTATGAGAATATTTTATTTAAATATTGAACTAGCGCGTATAAAATATGTATAATGGAAATGTCGGTTATATAAATTTCGAGAAAAAAAAGATTTGTTTTTATAACCGATATAATCGAAATATTCATAAAAATGCAAAATGTACTATAAACCATTATATGAAAAATTGAACATACAGAAAGCTTTTAATTTAGTCAAACAATAGAACAGCTAACTTTCGTTAAATATTGTTTTTGAAAATTGACATTTGTCAATTTACATGTTTCATATTGGCATTTTTATACGATATTCTACACACCCCGTGCTCAATTCGCGCATACTTAATAACATCAGAATTGTAGAAAATATAGCAATGAACTTGTTAATTAAGCAGATATTTGTCAATAATAAGCCAATAGTATTTTATTATCAATATTTCCAATGTATCAAACATGTCCTCATTAGAAACTCCACGTTGTTTTGCCGATTTGCAAATGAGAAAATTGCAAATCGCCGAAGGGAAGAGTATCCCAAGGGGATAGAAAAATTAATTATGTATTCGAACTTGGTGAAAGCGCGTTAAGAAGTTTAATTCATCGTTGGATTTGCAAGATGAAACTTTTAGTACGCGTACGTTTTGTAGGAATATTTTCGCGGGTATTGCGAAAACATCAGCGGATACAACGCTGATGACAACAGAATGCTGTCCGGAATAAAAGCAAATAGATTGCCACCCTCTCTGCCGCATTGTGCGCGAAAAATAAAAAAAATAACATTTCGCGATGTATTAATAAAACGCGAGATAAATCAAAGTAATTCTCGGCTCGCGCAGGTACGGTACGCGCTTTGCTTTTGAAAATAATACCGCCGGCGTATCGACAAAAACGGGGCACGGTTCGACGATGTATGGAGGAGGTCTATTATGCGCCGCAAAAATGAAAATAAAGTGCCAATCAGATTTATTACGAGATAAATCGAAACAATTTGCACATTGCACGTTGACCCGTAAACACATCATCACCGGTTTATTCAGACGGCAAAAGAGTTCTGCAAAATGTTGCTACGCGAAAATAACATTGATAAAATAGACATCAAATGCAAAATGCGTTTTAGCGGACGACGAGGATATGCTTGGAATCGCAAATGCAATTTTTTCAATATACATATGTATAGGGTATCCCACTTCCGTTGAAACTTTGATAAAAACTTCTTAAATATTTAGAAACCGATTTATTTTACATTGATATAATTTATATTTTTTAATGTAGATAACTGTTTTAGTATGAGAAGACAACCGAGAAGTTTTCTTCTGTCTACTGTTTAATAGTCGAATTTTCCATTCCGTTAATTTAATTAGACGTTAAAACAAAAGTTGATATTATTAATATTTGAGAGATATGCGATATAATATTTCATAATAGTTCAAATTATCGTTTAATGCACATATTTGTGTTTCGTAACGTGTCTCATTACAAAGTCAAAATAAGCTACGCTCAAAACGCTCAATTATTCATACGTCCTATTATGGAGAATCTGTCAAATAAATTTACTATATACATGAATGTCTGGGCGCGCGCAATATATATATATTTGAAGTTTAAAGTTAATAAAAATGTTTAAAATTATGTTAATACATTGTGTTTTGTATTAAGTCTACGCAAACAAAATTGCCGAAATTAAATATGCGGTTTATAAAATTCCAATGGTAATCAATTTGACTTCGAATATGCAGCTGAAAATTATAATAAATAGCATAGTTGTGCACCTTCGTGCCCATCATGGTGTAGGTTTTTCCCGATGCGCTCTGTCCATAAGCCACCAGGCAAGAATTATATCCAGAGAACATAGCGTCCATGATGGACTGGCCTAGTGTTTCGTAGATTGTCGCTTGAGTGGCATAATTCTTCGCTTCAGGATCCGACGAATCGAAACAGTAATCGAAATCATATCTCCTGGTTCTCTCGCGACTGTCCCCGACCTTGCTCGACGAGATCTTCAAATTTGTCAAGGAAATCTCATTCGATTCCGCGCGAACCACCACTGCGGATCCCGTCAAGTTTAATTCCCTGCACATCAAAAACATGTATATTAGTAATGCATGTAGAATTCGCAAATCCATATATAAGAGTTTGAAACTCTATATGAAAGAATCTAACAGTTCAGAAGTCGGAGAGTAAATGGAAAAGGGTTTAAGAATCTTTACTTATGTATCAAAAGAGTGAGAACAAGATTGCCCCCATTTTTTTCCCATTCAATTTTGGTGTCAAAGTAGGCACCAAACCATACCAAACGAAAGGTCTCGTCAAGATGATCGCAGATACGTCAGTCTCAGAGTGTGTACCTATTTAACGTTCCAGAGATATCGGGCTCCAAAAATTCTCAGGACGTAAGCGATGAAGCCGTCTGGACAGACACCAACCATTTGTTTGGAATGGAATGGAACCGAAAACCAAAATCGAATGCGAACAAAATGGGGCCATTTGCCTATGGACACTTGTTCTCACTCTTTAAGATTCATAAATTAAATCTTCCAAGAAAGCATGAAATTTCTATGTATTTCTATCTTGAAGATATTGAAGCAAAGCACATTATATCCAAAAATGTCATCGGAACTCATTTTGTCAAGATTTCGCAAAGTTGGCCGATCTAACGATCAAACGAAGGATAACGAGTGATATCGTCGCAAATATTTGCGAGGGAGGAGTCAATAAACGCATGCAAGCACTGCAAGCAGTTTCGCCAACGATTTTCGAAGCTGGCATCGTTTTTCCACCTCCCTCGTCTATATGTGTTACGCTCCCCCGTTGCAGTTCTTTTTTTTTTATTTCATCCTTTTTTGCCAAGCACATTTTTTCATGCTTCATGGATCGGAATCGATTCATCGAAAAGCGGTGGCGGCGGCAACAGTAGCGGTGATGCATGCGACCGTGCGTCGCGTTCACACGGGGGTATGCGCGCACACCCCCTCTTGTTATTCTATAGAGGGGCTTTGCCCGATTTTCTCAAAGCATTCCGCACAATCGGTCGCGTTTACGACTGTTTTATAAAAAAATTTTCTTTTTTAGGCTACAATATTTTAGTAATGTGTTAAAATAACAACATTTCGCTTGCAACAGGTATTTTTAGGTGCATTTAGCTGCGAAGCTAGTAAATTCATTTAACATGCAAAGACCTACGAGCAATTTAACAATAAATATGCCCGAGAATCCGAGTTTCTTTCTCGTAAAATAATGCAATGTCAATTCTGTTCTGCCTTGTTGTTAGTAAGAGAATGAAGATATATTGTTGTTATTAAAAAGCCACTCAAAGAGTCTTGCGCTTTTCAAAGAATGTAAAATTAATACAGAAGGATTCGAGAAACAATCGGTGAATTTGATAAGAGTAATAAAAATTAAAGACTGTAGAAACCCGCGAAGGTAGAGTAGGTTTATGGATTCAAAGGGTATCTTTTGACCTAAAGACATGCAACAAGTCTGGGTGGCATCGAGGTTTACATCGCGAATTATGGACGGTCGCGTTTTCGGGACAATCGGTGTCGTGTGACGCTGCATTTTGCGTGCCGCGACAGGATAGAAGCGCGATTATGTGCGGCGATATTATATCCTCGGTGCATGTAGAGCATACGCGAAGGGATCATTGCAGTGCTTTAACCCTGGGTTTCGCGTGATCCTGTCGGCCCTATTAAATCTGTTCTCGTCCTAATCGGACGTTTCGGTACAATTCGGGCTACGCCTCGTGTTGTAGGCGCAAATAAAATCCGAGCTCTTGCTAATGCAGAGGAGATAATGTCACCGCGTGTACCTTTAAAAGAGTCTTAATACCAAAAAAGTAGGATTGGGAAAGTACTTTATAAAAGTATTTAGTTACGGTTACAAGTTACCAATTCTGAAAAGTAACGCAGTTACAGTTACTCAAAAAGTAACGAATCGTTACTTTGCAGTTACTTTCTTGCAATAAAAATAAAAATATCAAATCTGCATTTGAATTGTAAAGTGTCGATAAAGGTGTTTATGTGGAGGTTTAAAGTATACATATATAAAATAATTATTAATGTAACTATACATATATAAGTTAAGTTACTGTTACAGATGGAGAGAAAGTAACAAAGATAAGTTAGAGTTACCAAAAAAAGTAACTGTAACTTCGTTACAAGTAACGAGTTACTTCCCACCCCTGCAAAAAAAGCATATTTTGAGAAAAAGAGATCTATGCAACTCGAATGGATACTGCGGATCTATAATATCGATTATGATCTGTAGCCTATTTTTTGTCACATTTGATGTTAATGACAGTATGGTACATTTAGCATGACGTTAAATTGGAATGGGAAACAGACAGCTGCGTTTATCATTAAATATATGACCAGGAATATTTATATTAAACGACGGCAAATATATAAAGGCGAAATATGAAGTAAACATATAAAATTAATGACAAAATAACGTTACTTATAGATTAAAAAATAGATGCTCTTTAAGATACGTGCAACAGATTTTTATGAGATTTATAGTACATGCAGAACGCGCGGTGGTTTGTTCATCTTAGATCTGTTTATTTGTCTTTGCGCTTTAATCACTTGGGAGAAGCTTGCTCTCAGATCACTTCCAACGGGGTCGTCGACAGGCTAAATGGGCGTAAGAAATATTATTTTTACTAAGCCTCAATTTCGATGATTTTCTTTCCACGCGACTGTTCTTTTCTCTTTTATAATATCAGTCTACATAAACTCTACGTAAAATCGCAGATCGTAGGAACAGAAACAATATGAATTTATAAATTGGTAGCTCCTTGAATTCTTAAATTCTTCAACTCTTTTATTCTTACGTTTGTTTGTACTCTTTGATCCTTGTCGAGCTTTTAGAATCTTTCATTTTTAGGTTGTTAGACTTTTGAAACGAGCGAAACTACATCATCCTTTCGGCATTAAAGATAAAAAAGAAAACATTTCTTGCATTAATATTAATAACGTACCGTTCTCTTTTAGAAGGTACAGACCACTGTTATACCCGATGGATTTATAAATTACGGGACCCCTTTGAGGCTCGCCACACTGCGTTTGCTGTATTGGCCGACGCGTATAATGATGCAAAAAAAAGGCACGTATCCCCCTCGACTCTCGTGTTTCACGGCGCCGTAGTACGAAAATAACAATGCCAGCGCGTTAAGACGATACACGCATACCTGTCAAGCGGAGGCAACTATAAACGGAACGGATGCGCCAGCTGTCAACGTAAGGTCGCCCTGCGCCCCATCACAAAGTCATAGTCCTGCTCTCGATCTCCCATACGGTCGCACCCCACGCTAAGTCAATGGGAGTATTTTCGGCGTGGAACCCGCTCTCGGAATCATTAAGCGACCTCGTCGCGCAGCCGAGATGAATATCGGTCTCTTTATCCACGAAGAAAATTGAAGCGTACGGCGCGAGAATGAGGTAATTGGCAGCAATACATAATTTGCAGAGTTCGGCGTCATAAACTTAAATTGCTCCATATTCATAATCTTATTATTTTATTAATTACGAATTGACCCCTTATTTCTCTCTTGTATTGAAATCTTTAATTTTAATTAAATGGAGATGTATCTTAAAAATATCGGTCTCTTTATCCACGAAGAAAATTGAAGCGTACGGCGCGAGAATGAGGTAATTGACAGCAATACATAATTTGCCGAGTTCGGCGTCATAAAATTAAATTGCTCCATGTTCATAAACTTTTTATTTTATTAATTATGAATCGACCTCTTATTCCTCTCTTGCATTGAGACTTGTACTGATGTGCACGTGATATAAGAATGGAAAGATTCAAAAATTTTAAGAATCAAAGATTTAAGCAGTTTCAAATATTTGTTTAATTTTAAAGAAAATTTTCCCTTTACTTTCTCTCTCAAAAATCATACAAATAAGAAAATGTTTGTCTGTATTGTCTATATCGAACAATATATATGAGGTAAAAAATGAGAATAGATCTAAATAAATTAAGTCAAAGCGAAATTTAAATACCTCTCGCATGGCAACGTGTGTTAGATTTTAGCGCGCAAAATTATTAATTTGCTACTGCAAACGAATATCATCAAATTTCATTTTGTATCTTTAAATATTCGCGATTAAAATACTGATTGCACTCGATTCGTGCACTCGTAGCATGGAGGGATTTAGAAAATTCAGAAACAACTTTTCGAGAAACTGAACTTTATTAACATTATTATTTATACATCGTTTGCGCTTACTTGGCGTTCTTTCGTAAGAGATAATTCAAGATTTTTGTAAAAACGACATATGTTACGAAAATAGAGTCAACCAAATCCTCAATTGTCTCGAGAAATAGAGAGAAAATATCTACAATTAAACACTAAATTATTCGGCTAATGCAGCACGACCGGGTGCACCGGCGCAATGAATCACGCTTTAATTACGATTTGTAGCACAAATAAACGCGCAATAACTCGCGACGGAAACCCTCGCAGATGATCCTCAAGTTCTCGACGCTCAATTGCTTTCGTCTGCGCTTCCGGTGACTCCGCTTCGGTCGCTTCTACCGCTCGCGGACGAGCGCGCGCGCGCTCGTCTTTTTGCCGCCACCCTGGTAGTCTAAGTATAGAAACGAGTTCATAAGTGTTTGCACCGAGTGAGGCCGCACACGAGTGCGTGCGAATTCGAAGGTGTAAACATTTCCTGAAAGATTGCATTTTAAAATCTCAAAATTCAAGGACATTAAAGAATTGCCCGAAGTAGCCTGCAATATATTTTAGTCTCGAGATGTAAAAATGCAACGCTTGGGATTATAAAAATAAGGCAAGTCTACGAAACGTCTGAAAATCTCTATGTAATCTAAAAGGATGTATGCAATTTCGACAACGTTCTGAATAAGTGTAGCTGCGAAGCGTAAAACAAATTGAGGCAGATATTTTTCAAAGTGCAGCCGAGTCATAAACCTTGACCCTCACTAGCGCAAATATTAGGTACCTGCTGGGAAAAAGTCTTACAATTAGCATTACTCTGGTATTCTTATTATTGTTTGAACGACTCCATTTCTTCGCTATAGTTTACTGTCCATTATTGTTATAATAATTTACGCCAATGCTGGCGCTTGAAAATAACAGTAGCTTAATTCATCATCTTCCTAGAACATTACATATCAACGTTACGTGCACATGCAGAAAAGAATAATAAAGAAAGCTATAAGCCTTGACCTAGATTGGTGCACTTCGGAATTCGCCAAAAGCATAGAGGACGTAAAAACGCGATTTTCCCTGCTGTAATAATTTTTAATAATTTTAAAAGTTACATTTTAATGTTGTTTTGTTATTAAATATAAATGTTCGCGAAGAAATAATTCAATTATCAAATATTATCATTACCAGTATGTTAAATCGTTATATTCATTGAAATTAATTTATCTATTCGATAGGAAGCGATTATAGCTTTTCATTATTTTTTGTCAATTTAGTTAATTGAAGAAACTCAATAACTCCAATACAAGACAAACGAAACTATTTTCAGTCCCATTAGACAGCTCGAAATATGTCTCAGCTAGAAATCGCGTATTGATAATTATCTTTCCTCGTTCCTGTGTCGTTCTACATGATCTTTTTATAAAACAATTTCAAGAAGTCGTAGTATCAGTATTTTTTAATTAGAAACTATTATTTTGAAATGACAATCTCCTCTTGCGTTTTTAATCCTATCCATATAGTGTATTCGAAATGTCTAGAAGTACATTTTACGTGAAAACAACTCAAGTTTGTGTAGCAGATGACAAAAAGTAATATTTATCAGAGCTTACAGTTACTCATAGTTTCAATGCTTGCGTTTATTATACAGCGAGCGATTTAGATATTCGCGAAAGAGCAAAGTATATTATAGAGACAGAAAGTGGTTCGTACTCACCTAACAGATACCGGTCTTATGCGCACGGCCACTTTAATGTTCGCCATATTACCATCTCGCGGGTAACAGTGTTGGCGTCATCCGACTGTCTTCATCTCGCCGATGTTTTCCACCGATAAGATGTCGGTCGCACCGAAGAGCCACGCAATGATCGATCAGATATCAACCGCAAAATACACGAGAGCTATCACTAACACCGCGACTCATATCTTCCGGAGGTTGAATGCACCCGCTGTCCGCCACAAATTTGGTAGCACAAGCTGGTAGAGACTGATCGAGACGAATGCGTGCACCGGTAGTACTGGGTGCACATGTTGCACTGCCGCGATGAAAATACCCTCGAGTCGCTGCCGAGACTATCCCGCGTTCGTGGTTTGCCCCACCAGGAGTGAGTGAGCGAGCGAACGAGCGAGTTTAGTGAGTACCTCGTGCCGTTTTGCCTGGACGTTACCCGATTCCTTGCCCCGGCGACACGGGTACGGAAAAGAGAGCACCGCGAATCGCCGGTAAATTATGTGTACAAGGCGTTCCATAAAACAGCAGACGGTGGTTACGATTAAGATTTGGAAGAAGCGATTTCGGGCAGCTTGCCACATCGAGCTTGTGTGTATGAGGGATTTGTGAACGCGAGAATTGAGAGATTTAAGTGCTTGCCGGAGCTGAGTGCTCAAGGATGTCAGGATTGGGGATCTATATACTTGAGAGCTTAAGAATCTAAAAATATAAGGGCTTTAGAAACTTGGAAGCTAAGAGCTCAAAGATCTAACACTCCAAAAGCACATAGATCTAAAACCATACAAAGGTCTGAAAATATAAAATCTAAAAAACTTATTAGCCGAAGAAATTGAAAGATTTAATAATCTGATATCCTAGCACATGAGAATCTTAAAGATCTGCATTCGATTTATAAATTCAAGGACCGAAAGAGATCGGAGTTCTTAAAATTAACAATATCGCAAGACTCCAACAAAGGATGCATCTACCTCTAAATCCCTTGTCAGAGTCTAATTCTTGTCGGAAAGTAAAGGTTTGCTAAATTAAAAAATACTAATCGCCATCTCGACTTTGAAGCGATGCGCACTTTTAAATCTTCTATCGTGGAACAAGCCGCGACTTACGGATCGCCCTGTACTTAGTAGACAGAACTCGGTAAAACGAGCAAGGACAAATCGTTGCTGTTGCGGTATATCGTTGATTATTACCCCTCCTACAACGAGGGTATAGTCATGTTTCGGTGTTTAACAGAGTTTACTGGGTTACCGTGTTGCGCGGCGGTGACGGCCGCGGCTTAACGCGAGTCTATCGGCGGGAAATTAATCAGAGTGTAATTTACTGAGCCTGTGCTCGCTCGCGAGGGCGGAACGTCTCTCATGCTTAACAGAGAACAAGTATAGCCCGGCTAAGAAGGCTCTCTCGGGTCATCGCAGCCCGTTCCCCTTATACGCGTATTCCATTTCGCCGCGCATCATGGTCTTTATCCCGATTCCTTTGAAGCGCTTCATCCGTCTTTTATGCTATCTTAAAAGTGCGCCGTGACTTCCAGGCGAGGTCCCACTTTGATCCGCGCATGATATTTTCGGGCTGGCGGATCGACTAGCGTATTCTCTGTGAGAGCCGTCGCTACGATTGCCAATGCTGCTGATCCTTACTCCTCGCTCGCGGTCATCAGAACCATTATATAGGAGAAAGACGTGCTGAGCACCTGCAAGCACAATATCTATTGTAACACGCATCATAAAGTAGTCCGACTATTGCTATAAACTAAGAGTTATTCGAGACAAACATTAATTAAGAGACGCCCGCCTAGAGAGTAGGGAAGTCCAGGTTCACACTCTGGCTGAGGTAATATTTCTCGCAATAAATTTCTTTAATTAGAATTTATCAGTTAGCGTCGTTTAACAATTTTTCTGCATTAATTAATTAATTTATTAACACATTTTTATATTTTTTATAAAACCTTGTCGAAGTTAAACAACTAAAGTCAAATCTCAGGACCTTTTTAAGATATAACTTCAAATGTAAACGACAACGCCAAATCATACTTAGGCCCGGGCAATAGCTGGAGGTAGCGTAATAATTTTAAATTTAATATGTGAATTGAAAATTGTTGTCAAAATTGTTCGTCAGCGAGTTTTAGCATAGGCCGGTATTCATAGTCGATTCTTATTTCAAAATCAACTTAAGTGTTGTCTTAAGAGGCTACTACGGCTCTGTGATTGGTTAAAAATACATTAGGAGTATACTTAATAATAAGAACGGACTATATGAATACCGGCCATATCTGAGACAGTTATGTAATCAGGTTTATCGAGTGGAGTAGGGAGGGGTTTTTGAGTCATGGGGCTCCAATTGTATTCTGCATTAATTTATTAATTTTTATTATTGAGACTTTAATGTTTTTACTTGTTTTAGTTGCTTCCTCGTTTCAGAACTTCAAAGGGCCTTTAAGATTTTTAAATGTCTTGAGAATATTTTAGCCGATTTTTTTTTCTTTAACCGACTCAAATGGTTTCTCCTTACCCTATATTATCTTAAAATTAAATTTCGGTATTGTTTGACATAACAATCCACTCACTCGAGAGAAACTTTCGAGGGATATGCTGGAGAACTTGGCGGCGGTGATCTTGGAAGGAACTTTCGACCGCATCATCATGATCTGCAGGCTGCGACCGAAAGTGCCGCCGATCCAGTAGCTACAGTAAGCCGATCCGCTCACGGCATCGCTCTGGTTCGTTACAAGCGTTGGCCGTAAATTAATTACAGGCGATTGTGAGCTCAACGAACTATGTACTAATGAAGATACATGCGTTGGTAATCGGTCGATACGATTATCGTGCATTGAGTCTTCCATCGCTCGTTAAAACTCGTGCTATTGCGATACGCGTGCAGTCTGATACATGATATCTAATGATCTACGTCGAACGAAAGCTTATATAATAACTATAATGTGGACTGACACATTCTGCGGAAAAAAAGTAACAATTTTGCACCACGGTGTAGCGCAGTTTTATTAATTTGATCTAAATTTTACGACGACATTTTACTTCTGCAAAAAATAATGACAACTTACAATCGAAATTAACCGATTAATTATAGAAAATTTATTGAAATGATCATTTGCTTGTCGAGCTTCCCAATTTTTATCGAATAATGTGTAGTCGTAGAATATACTCGCCTCGTCTATTAACGCGTTTCCGCTGAAACTGAACATGAAAAGCTCGACGATGGCAGAGCTCAGAAACATCCAGTATTCCATCAAGCGTGTCTTGTTTTTCATCATCTAGAGTAACATTTTGCAACGTAATATTTTTGGTTACAACGCGTCTTTAGCAAGCGAACGTACCGAAGTAATCTGAAATCCCGCGAAACAAACCAAGCCGATGCTGATAATACTCTGTCCTAACGCCAAAATGTTTATAATTCTTTCGAGCGCATCCGCAAAACTAAAATAAAGTATCAGGAGAACATTGTCAACAATTGCAGGGAATGTTACGCACAGTTGAAAAATTTGTATTAAATTTAACAGATATTACATCATGTCCCAAACGGTCCGCACAAATTTTTGGATTAATTTAACATAATATGGATATGTTAAATGATTACACTAATACTCTGTTAATATTTTAACACAAAATTAATGCAAATCTCAAAATAATTGTGTTTAATGTAATTTTTACATTTTACAGATGTAATAAGTCAAATGACGGTTCGAAATCACTCTCGCTTATGTTATATAGAATAAAATAAACATTTTATTCTATAAATTACAGATAAATCTTGTTACTAATATTATAGAACATATGTATTGTGTAAAGTTAAAAAATAAGTACACATTGTGTTGTTTTAACATTTCTTTTCAGTTATTTTAATAATTGTACATTCGAGGTCAATTAACCCAAGAGCAATATGTTAAATTAACACATGAATGCGTGAAACATTTGACACGAAAATTTTAACCGGCATTTTTGTTAACAAGAAAACACAAATTTTCCAACTGTGCGTATAAACGTTACAAATCAATTTCACGTTAATATATTTGTGCGGAGATGGTTCTTTGTCGTAAGGGTAGCTGACAACAGCCAATGTTCTTCACGTGTTCTGTTAGACATAAAAAATTCGATCCTATTAATGTAACACAAGTATTTACGTGATAGCATCTTGATGATCCTTAACGCAGTTGATCATTGTTCTGTCAGCGTCGGGATTATTACTGTTTATTGCCTCCAGCTTCTTTCGCAGCACCGCAAACTTGGCTGATCCGTGTGTTATCGCGATGAGGCTGAAGGTGGTAGCGCCGAGTATCGTGCTACCACCGAAACAGCCGCCTATTACATCGAAGATGTAGATATACTCATAGACGGGCGAGATCGTCTGATTTAAGAAGAAATAACCGCGGAAGGGAAGTATCCTCTCTCTTTTAAGAATATATACCTAGTTAAGCAAATGAAAGTTGCTTGAGACCAATCGGGACGGACTAGGTAATCGATTATCTTACTATGGTTAATTTATAAATCCTCTTATTGTTTATGTAAAGATCATAATTTGGCAGAGAGTAGAAAAGACCGAGGTGATTGTTTGCAGAATTTGCGACCACCTTGCTTTTAGATTATATTACTCAGTATTGATTATTATCGTATTGTATTCTCTTTGAGCTCAATAATTAATTTTCCATAATTGTTAATAATTTATTAACCTGTATCGAGGAAATAAATACGGCGAAGGGATTAATATCTATGTAACGTACGCGTGCGTGTGCAGGTGTTTTCGAAAGGCTCGTAAAACGAAACGACCATCGGAAAACAATTTCCCGTGTAAGGACACTACCGTCCGCATTTGCGAAGCGGTAATAAACAATTTCGAGACAACGGCATCTTACAGGGGGGGGGGGGAAAAGGATTTTGAAAAGCTACAAATGTCAGTCATCGCGTTGCCGCGTCGCGCATGTCAATCTGTCACCGTCGTTTCGCGAAATAGACATCTGCAGAAGTTTCTCCCGTTTGAGAACGCTTGTCTTACAATCGTCTTGCAGCTAAAATTTATCATTAAACATCGTTTTGTTAGGAAAATAGACAGATTTAAAGAAACTTCCGCAGTTAATTGCTCTACAGGTACAATTTAATAACGGAGTCAATTAAAAAGTTATAGAGAAGTACGAAGTTCTGAGGCAATAAGGTGGAGCTCGAGAAGAGAGATCTTAAGCTTTATCACTGAAGGATATTCTAATGTCACTTCATATTTAATTCAAAATAAATCTCCTTTATTATCATAAAATTGAAAATTTGTAACGCTACGAATGAAATGAGAATTTCGAAAGTGTTATTAAAACGTTAGGCACCAAATACGAAAAACGTATGAACAGAAATGTTCTCAATTATCAATTTATCTTACGGAAAGTTACTTTTTAATTAAAAAAACATTGAATTTCTTATTTTAAATTCTTCCGTGCAATTGTTGTGTCTCGAGACCGACAATCTGTATGTATTGTTATAATGATTGCTAAAAATATTAAATAAGTGACTTCTTGTACGTACCTCTAAAATTGGCAAGCATGCGAAGGAAATTATGGTTGTAGTTACCAAAACTATAAAGCCTTTCGCGAGCCGAAACGCAAAGAGGCACTTCTCCTTCAGAATAATTCTATCTTCGTACGACGAACAAGTCCAATCTTTTCTCATGGTTTCGACTACGTACAGCACATCTTTTTGATGAAACGAGAAGACGATGTGGCGTAGTATCGCGAGGTAAAATGCAGAGCCCATGCAAGCGCCTGCCGCCAATTCGTCCAAATTGTTAAAGTTGTACATTATATCAGCCGTCACGGCGACGCACATTATGGTGAGCTACGTTGTGCGCAAATAATAATGTTGAATTATTTATATTATATTCAAGGTGTTTATTTTAACTTTATAAGAGAATTCAATGATATATTTATTTGTTTACGCAGAAAAGCTTACGAGAGAAATCAACACGAGTACAATAGAACTCCCTTTCTTTGTTTTAACAGTTTGTTCGCATCTAATTAATCAAGATATTAATTCTGCATACTATGAAAAACATCCAGAGCACGTGGCAAGTCTTGAACACCTTCGCACTGGTTGAATGGTCCCTGCTCAAAGGCCAAAAGGAGACAAACTTGCCAGCAATCATGATGGGCTTCATTAAATTGTCGTATTCCTTGTCAACGTGCACTTGGCGTTCCATATCTTCTCTTCTCCAGTTATCAGTACGATCCGACGATGCGATCGCGACTCCTGACTTTTCGCGACTGCGGAAAAGCCGGAAGTCCGTCACCGTTCGCGTCCGCTCACCGGCGAGAGGCCTATGCGCCAATCTCGAAAGTGCCAATCTTTTCTTCCCCTCAATTCTCGCGATTCTAGCGCACGAACGACGAGATAACGATCGGGTTTATCGTTCTCGTAGGTGGCATAATGCCCGAAGTTCGAAACTCTCGCTAACGGGCGGTGCAAACTTGTCGCGCGCATAGATGTCGACTTGTTTCCCTTTCGATGGGAGAAGAAAAATGCATTGTCCCCTCTCTACGTGAAATCGTGCGTATCCTCGCGCGAGAATTCACCATCGACTGTGAAAAATCGAATGTTATATTTCTGCATTGTTTTAATATACTTTTACATGGAACCGTAAATGGTTAAAATCGTTTTTCCAACAATTTTCGCGTTGGGGTGGTCGAGAATTACTTTACATTCTACGCCAATGACATGGAGGGTGGCGTGCAGTTACGAATATTCTATGTAATCATGGTAAGCGCGTAGGAGGTAAGAAGGTAATAGGTGAGAGTAAGTTCTATCTTCCTAAGTGATTTTCGATTTTATTACAGGGAGATTTTGCGCTAGACAGATATTTGCGTTATTGGTGGTTCCGCACTTTGCGTTAAAAATGAATGGAATAGCGAATATAGAGGGAAAATGACGTAGGAGTACAATAGCATGTGAAGAAATAGTTAATAATCATAAATGTATATGTGCGTTTATTTGCTATTTATATGATCTCATTATTATAATACATATGCATTTATTCAGCATGACATCATCGCATAAACGCATTATCATGCATCAATTTGCATACTAATGACAGAAACGATAAACGAAAGTAATTGCAACCTTTCAATTATATCGTTTATTTTAGCGTAATTTTGTCTGTTTTTTTACAGCTTGGTTCATTCTTAAATTATTCTTTTATACAGGATTGCGCTTTTCTCTAGTTTTTTACATTTATATACAAAGGACGTATTCTTTTATTATAAATAATATATGCGGGGGAGGCGTGGTACGAATTGTCAAAGTTATTTTACGCAGCTCCCTGCTGCAAACAGCTGAGTTCGCGTTATGCGAACAGTGTAGTTGAGAGATGGTAAATAGACATCTAAAGCATGTGATCCTTCACTGAAAAAAAACTCTAGTTGTATTAATCTTGTAGATTCAACCAGTCGTCCGTTAAAAAATGGACGAATCAAAATTCCTTTAGGATTTACCAGATGTGTAGTGAAATCTAGCAAACTTCCGGTTACGAAATATCAAGCCCTGTCGTGCTAACTGAAAATTCTGTTTGGTCAAAATACATTCTATCGTACAGGTCTTGCTGATACAATCAAAGCATTTTTCAATATTCTATTCTAAGTTTATTGCGAAAAAATATCACCTCGGCCAGGATATTTTTTCGCAATAAACTTAGAATAGAATATTTAGACACTACCACCCTGTCACGGCTCTGAGTCCTTTAAATTCTTTTAAATTTGTATTTAACACATACGAGCCATACTAATTTATCAAAGCATTTTTCTCAGTGTTAATGGAAAACGAATTGTAACAAGTTATCAAAGAAACGAACGATTCCGGCTGGCTCTTTGGCTCATTAGATGATTAGAACAGCGCACATCTCATTGCGCCCCCGGTCGCGCTACGTTTTTATTTGAATTTCGAGTTGACCGTTTGATCTCTCGATCTCGTTGATCGATAGCATCGCTCCGACTTCACACCTCGCACTTGGTTGAGAGTCGCTGGTGCGGTCGCGCGTGCGCAGCGAGATCGCGTTGACGCATAACCTGTTAGAAGGGTCGCGCTTTTGCTCCTGCACGATCGTGACGTCCCTGACGATCTCGCGGGATATGAGTCGTCGTTGCAAAAATACGCGATAGCCCGGAGAATGGCTGCGCCTTATCTAGGCGTGAGCGACATCGTTCACCTGAACGTCGGCGGCACCAGGTAGATTTTCCTTGAGGCTGTAACTTGGTCTTTCCGTCAATCTGGACTGCACGCCGTTCTTAAACCTACGAATCTCCGAGTATCGATTTGTATCTTTTCTCTAGATTACATCACATCTCTCGTCTGGATATTTTTGTTGCTTTTTGAATTTTAGGTTAAACACTCGAGCCGGATCTCGTTAAATTCTATCGTAATTCGATCTTAATGCCTTGTATCTTGACGACCACGAACCGTTTCTCTTTTCAGATTCTCCACGTCTCGTCAGACTCTAACATGGATCCCGGATTCCTTCTTCACGGCACTGTTAAGTAATAGAATCGACAGCCACAAGGATGAGACGGGCGCGCTCTTTATAGACAGAGACCCGAAGCTGTTCTCCATCATACTGAATTACCTACGCACCAAGGACATTGATCTGAAGAACGTGGACATTCGGACTTTGAGGCACGAGGCCGAGTACTATGGCATCACCCCTCTGGTTAAACGTTTGATGCTCTGCGAAGACCTGACTCAGTCGTCCTGCGGCGATGTACTGTTTTACGGTTACTTGCCACCACCGAGTAAGTCTGTCGCGTTACCCGCCGCGTATCGTGATAAACTGTAACAGCCCTGTTTACTTTAAAGGCATACCGCTTCAAGAACCAGTTGCGGTAACATCGAATGTCAGCGACGTGTCGGTTCATATTAGAGTCAACTCCAGTTCGAGCTCCAGAGTCGACGGCCCATCCACCTCGCAATCTGTGACAGTCAATAACTCAACTAATCAAAGTACCAACGGTATATATTCATATTATCACTTTATCATTCACTGATAGGAATACGCGCATCTGAAATATCGCGAGACACGGCAGTGTCTCGCGACCAAGTATAAGCTAGCTAGAACCGCGCGCGCGAGAGACCGACCGTGTGTAGTTTACGCGAGGTGACGGGCCCACAGATTTTCGGATCTCAACAACGGCAGATCCGACGAACTTCTAGTGCACTCAATCGATAGCTTGGGTACGATTTGCATTTAGTAATACGTGAACTTGTCAATATTTGAATAAATCGCATAGACCTTCGACGGTCATGCTGGATCTTCATGCCTATTTTTCGCAATAAATTACACAGAGATTATTTCTAAAGGATGCTCGACTAGCAGTAGTCATTATTGAATTGATTGTCACTTTAATTAGATATACTGTCTCTCCTTTAGCTCAATACTGTGATTTAAGACCGATGTTGCTTTATCAGCGCGCAGTTGTTATATTGAATATAGATATACATTGCAAGAGTGTTAGGCACGAAGATCGCAGGCCTTTCTGTTATTGAAATCTTTGATTTGAGTAATGCAACATTATAAAGAAAAAGCTGACAAGAAATTGTTTTGCCGCAGGTCCCCAAAGTCACAAAGGTGCACTGGGAACGCATATGAGAAACTCCTCTTTGGATTATCGACTGCCGCAGCGCGGTCTCCCGCATTCTCGCACGCCGTCTCTAGATCTGAGACACGCCAGGAACAACTCGGCTGATCTGAATAAATTGTATAAAAACGATATCGGCCTAATATTTGGATCGCAGCAAGGTGAGCGTCAACGAATCATTACTCTAAAGTGCGATACATAACGTAAAGAGTGTTTGTCTTCCATTTTTAATATTAATGAAGCCACGTTGATTGCAGTTTCGTCATGGGTGGACCCCCTGAGAGTGCAGATTATAAAGGCGCATCACAACTGGATAGTGATCGCATACGCACATTTCATCACGTGCTACCGGCTGAAGGACTCGTCCGGGTGGCAGCACGTGTTCACCAGTCCGCATATCGAGTGCATAATAGAGCGCGTGGCGATAAACGCGAAGATGGGAAGTGGCGCGGACGGCAAGATGGTTGCGATCTCCTACGGCAGCCAAGTGAGACTCTGGGGTGTGTCCGAGGAAGGAATCAAGATCAACGTGGGCACGTTCAACTTAAACGTGCGCGTGGAATACCTGTTCTTCATCGGCAGTCAGTTGGTCGCGTTGTCGCCGACCGGGAAGATCGGTGTGTGGCACGCGATGACTCATCATTGGCAGATACAGGACGTAGTGCCCATCCTGTCATTTGACACAGCTGGATCTTTTCTTCTGTTAGGCTGCAATAACGGTTCCATTTATTATATTGGTGAGCAAAAAGAAAGATATTACATTTCTCAAATTCGCAGTACGTTGTTTGACAAATTTCCAATTTATACGTTGAGAGAGTATAAAATTTATATTCTGGAGCCTAGAGTATTTTAAAATATTCGAATTAAAAGAATATTTGAATATCTTTATACAATACAAATAATTTTTTTAATATTTAGATTTCTATAATAATTTCGATTACCGTATGAATTACAGATATGCAAAAGTTTCCTTTGCGAATGAAGGATAACGACCTGCTCGTGACCGAATTGTATCGAGATCCGAGTTACGATCCCATAACTGCGATATCTGTGTATTTGACGCCGAAAACTAGTAAGTCTCTCTTTATGCCTATTCTCATCTTAATATAAAGATCTCGACAAATAACAAGACATAGAAGTTTGAGGTAAAATCTTTTCCTTACGAGACAATTGGAGTACTATTCGTTAAGAAGCGATTTCGACGAGTGACGTATCTTATCAAAATTGTTTATTAAGGCTGCTTAATGCAGACTGTAATCACAAACGTCATTATCGGTTTGATTTCGCGAGGATCATTATTTCACTCCGTACGTGCTAAAATAAAATGAGTGCCGTTAAATGTACCGGGCGCTAGTGATCGCATAGGTGTAAATATAATTTGTTCTTACTAACCGGCGTCTATTTTATTCATTAAGATATTATAGGAATGTTATAAGGTTTGATGTTGGTCCTTAAAGATATTAATGAGAGTTTATTATTACATTCTTTGCTTCATCATTTCTCGTACAACTGGATAAATAGCACAAGGCAAGTATGGGTCGATGTAAGCAGACTTTCTGCTTTCTCACGTTCAACTCGTACGTCAAAACGAAGCGTCATCCGCCTTCATCTTTGTGTTGATTGCATCAAACGTGAATCGTGTGATTAAATAGCAGCGAGCGTACACCCTCTTCCTCTCCAGATAGCATTAAGTTTTACGACGACGCACTGGCGCATAGCTATGTATTCTTTTGCATATCAATAGAATATAAAAATGAACTTATACATAGGAGCGTGTATCTTATCGCAGAGCACATTTGTTTTGTTAGAATCTGAATTTTTATGAAACACTTGTGAGATGATGTTAGAGATTGCACAACCCTGCTATCCTTATGCGTCCAGTTGTACTAACGCGATGTTTCCTTTCTCTTCCTTTTTTTTTTAAATTTCTTTGCATTTGTACGCAATGGATTCAGTTAATCCGATTCGTCTGTTAGAGCCGCTTGCTTGCTCTTTCTATTCATAGTAATATGTTCCATGCCAGCATCTGAGAGGGGAAAGGGAGGTAATAGAAAACATGTATCTTTGCTTGCGTACTTTTTTTCGTTGGTAGTGACAAATTTATAGGCAATTTTTACTTTTTTTTTTACCAAGTCTGTCCAAAAATTGGTTTTAAATAACATTAATTATTAACTGTACACGTAAACATTATTGCTTAATTATACAATATTGTTATTATACACCCGTTATTTTATGTAAATGTATACACCATTATATTTTATTCATAAATAGCTTCTGCTTATTGTTGCAATGTGCAGCATGAGGCATTGTGAGCTTTAAGACATCATATACATATCATTTTTTTATTAATAATACTCACCTGTGCACACATATGTTATTTCAATATTATGTCAAGTTACGTCTATATTTTCACAATCCTTCATTATTGTAGCTATAATATCAGTAATTAATCTCCTGATACACTATTAAAATTTCATCTTGTAATGCAAATTATACACAGGAAAATGGAAGTTGATATAGATTTAATTCAAAACAAAGATTTCAATTTTTCATATATAATATCGTTAAACATTATGTGTATAATCACACAGATAGTGATGAGTGATATTTTCTAATTCTCAAAGTGTATCAGGTGGTTAGTGCAATATAAAACATATCTTTCTAAAAGTGCATCGCTCCCAATATAGGTCTCTGCGGAAACTGGATAGAAATCGCGTATGGCACGAAATCCGGAAGTGTCAGAGTGATCGTCCAACATCCCGAAACTGTTGGCCATGGTCCGCAGCTATTCCAAACCTTTACAGTGCATCAGAGTAGCGTAACCAAAGTACGTTCCGCAACAATAGTTTTGCATTAAAATGGTACATTAAATTACAATGTCGCGTTAATTTAATTAATGCGCAAATTACATTACAGGTAACACTCTCGGAAAAATATTTAGTGTCAGTCTGCTCGGAATATAATCACGTCAGAAGTTGGGCGGTGACCCGATTCCGCGGAATGATTTCTACTCAGCCGGGATCCACGCCCGAGGCAAGCTTCAAAATTGTTTCTTTAGAAGCAATTGACCCATGCGTTAGCTATAATGCCGGCAACGATTTTGGTACGTTGTGATACTGGCGCTTTGAATTATCATTCTTTCTCCAATCTGCAATTAGTTTTAAACACTTTTCATTCCCACGTTTTCATTCCAATTAAAAATTTTTCTTTTCTTTGTTTATTTAATACTTGAATAAAATATCTGGATTATTCAGGACCATTCGGCGAGCAAGATGACGAGCAAGTGTTCGTGCAGAAAGTCGTACCCGAAACCGATCAGTTGTTTGTGCGATTAGCGTCGAATGGAAAAAGAGTTTGTGTAATACAGTCGGTGGACGGTAGCATTATAAGCTCATTCTACGTGCACGAGTGTGAAGGTTCTAGTCGCATGGGCTCGCGGCCCAGACGTTTCATATTCACTGGTCATTCTAACGGCACCATTCAAATGTGGGATCTCACAACGGCATTGGACCCGTCTTTCAATGCTACTCAAGGTACGTTACTCTCTCCCGTTGTAGTGACATAACGGAATCTGCGAGCATGACTCACCCAACGTAAAATACTGTAGCAAGCAGAAAATTAGCACAAATCATATATTTGAGAGAAGTTATCTAGAGAAACTATTATATATTCTATTATATACAAATATATATAAATATTAATTTTATATTAATCTTTTAAAAAATGTTTTTGTAATTCATGTGATCATTGATTGATATGAACGTTGGATGTGATCTGGTTGATTCAGTTAAAATTGATTACCCAGATTTTATGATTTCGCGTCCTTTTAGCAACAGATACCTCTGGTGGGCCTACGCCAGAGGAGCTTTGGAAGCTGTTGGATCAGTGTGACCTGAGCAACAGTCATTGCTCAACGCCTTGCATCAGTCCTTCTCCTTCGTTACTCGCGGCTGGACCTAGGATTAAGTCGAGCAACGTATTATTTCTCAATCAGTCGCAAACTCCAGACGCAACGCCTGGGCCCAGTCAAACGTAAGGATGCGCTTTGCCAAATCGAGGTGATATCGTGCCTAGGTGTACGCAATCAAAATCTGCATTTATTTAGTTATTTATTTATTAACGGACCGCTATAAACCGCCAAGAAGTCTATAGCGATAGTTCCTAACTCGCCATTTTTGCATTTTTATGTATAATAAGACCGGAGTTTGCTATTTATCTACTTAAACGGTGCAATCTAAAAATAGTATAGCAAAGAACATGACTGCATTTACAAACTTTGTAGCTACTAGTATTAAAATTATTTTAAAAGCAAATTTTGGACCTTGTGCATAAAAATATATAGATGTTTATTAAATTGATTTTATAAAAGTTTATCACTTTTGAAATACTCAAGAGTCTTTATTTGTTGTTATTAACACTGACGTAACAAAAACTTGTCGGGAATTTACTATCTAAGAAATTTTATAAATATCTAGGAGTTTAATTATTACGTTTTGTCTCGTTTATTATTTATTGTTCCAATACGGCTATAAAATGCTCTTAAGACAAATCGATTTACGATATTCATATTGTGTATGTAGACTTTTATACTTTGTCTCGTTAGGTAAGGGAAGGAATAGACAAAATTTTACAAAATCATAAATTGATAGATAATGTAAGTTGAGGGTTCTGTTTGCAGTGATATATTCTGTATCAATGTTATAAGCTAAATCAAATACGATCCTAGATCAAAGATGATCATACTCAGAATCACATTATTTGTCACGTCGCATCAATGTCTCGCAATGCATTGAGACAGAATCACCAAATACTTTTAAAGTTTTGATAGACATTTATATTGTAAATCAGTGCAACCTACATTTTATACATATATATATCAATTTCTGTACAACGATTTTGCTTCGACTGTAAAACATCTTTATTATTTCAACATTGTATCTTTGTCAACATTTGATGCTCTGAATATCATTTAAGAAGTTAATTTTACTATCTATCTCTCGATTAAAGAATGGTATACATTACATATGCGATAAAAGATTACACATAATCTCGAAAACTGAATTAGACTCTCATTATATACATAAATACTTGTAGCTTTACTGCACATATAATGTATATGCGTTCGTCGATGTACATATATAAATGTTATAGTAATATTGTTGCGCCCCACCGCGTTACTTCTGTGATTTAAATAAACTATTGGTATATGTGTATGGCGGTATCTCTTGTCGTGTGAATATTTACCACTGCCATTGTACATATGGATATCGTATATACACTATACATATAGACAGTTATAAAAGTAGACGATTAGAAAGATCGTTTTAGAAATTTTCTCAATAGATTGTATTAACGATAATAATCTATATTACAATTTTTGTTTCCAAAAATCTCTATCTGAAAAAATCGATAACGTTTAACAGATCGTGACCGTGAAACAACGTAATAATATAAATGTACGCGGCATTTCGTAAATAATAATTGGCTAGATTCTCCGCATTTTGCTTTTGCAATGCCATGTATCTTAATAGTTGTTGTGACATTTGTCATCACCATTAAAAAAGTCTAACTTTCAGGCACTATGGTGATATACTTTGTAACAATGTCGAACCGCACGATCAGTTAAATTATAAGTACACCGTTATCGAATATACAATTGGAATTAGTCTGAAATAATTTTAATTCCCGCGATATTCTTCGACAGATATTGTACACAATTATGTAAACCGGAAGATCGGTGGAACAGTCGTGATAAATTCTGCGTATAAACATTTTAACCCTAGCATTTGTTATTGGAATATTTGTTAGAGATTGGGCGTGTTTCTCATATAAAGTGTTTAGTCCAGAATAAATTATTATTGAACAACGATGGATGAGTCATCGGCATCAACAAGAAGCACCAGGCGACCAAGCCGATTACAAACAGACACATAAATCCGGCTCTTTTCAGCGGGTTCTTGTAAGCCGCTATCTCAGAGAGATCAGGAAATCCCATGTGATTGCAGAATGAATGCGCGGCAAATGGAGCGACAAGGTGTCCTAAGAAAAATACATGCAGATCTTTTAAAACCTAATGTCTTCGGAATAAGAAAAGGAAGCAAAATAATCCCACCTGTCCTCGCGAAGAGAAAGGCCGCGTATGCTCCAAATAGCGTGGTGTATGCGGACTGAAAACCTAAATTCAACGCAATTTAATTATTTTTAGTTGGACGGACACCATAGAGATCCCATCTCGAGACTTACAGGATGTGAACAACGCGTGCTTGATGCTCATGCCTATCTTCACCCTCTCCACCACGTGATGGAAGTGAGCTACCCCGAAGAACAGGGGGCACACGAATATGGCAGTGGTCGGTGTGAAGCATTGCAGCAGCAACGGCAACATGCAAGCCCTGAAGGTCCACTCCTCGGACAACGGAGCGACCACCTGATTTCTCCACCAAATCAGAGTTCGTACGTTTCCCAGCCAGTACATGGATTCCAAGGCAGATGTACGTCTGTTAACTGTTGGGCTTTCGGACCCTCGGCTCGCTTTCGGATACCAACCGGTGTACAGTCGCCACTTGAATCCCTGCAAGCTCAAGGGACCTAGGAATAGGGTCATCGTTAGGAGCAATGATACCACAGTCGCCTGTATCAGGCCCGTGCATCGAAGGCCTAGCATCTCCCAGATGGTCGCCTGTTAGGAATAACGAACATGATTATTTATTAGTAAGAATATTCTTCAAAGTCGCCAGCAGTAATTAACAGCATCAGTGACTTTTATTGACCGTGTCTGGCAATTTTTATAATACAGAAAATTTATTGCGAAAAGGTCCTGGCTGAGGTAATATTTTTCGCAATAGATTTTCTGTGTATTATAAAAATTGCCAGACACAGTTAATAGAAATCACTGATGATTATTTATGCAGAGTAGTCGGGATCGTGCGTAAACGGGGAAGTACCTTTTGAAATACATTCTCGTTTAGTCCAAAGTACATGGGCGCTGGCGAGACGAGAGTTACGACGAATACGCTAAAGAATCGTTTCTTTATAGTCGACGGATGCTCTCTGAAATATAAATCGTCGTTTAACATGAACGTATGATATGAAATGTTTCTCACAAGTCCTTTGTGTCCCAGTGGTTTTGCTGTGAGATCGCTACGAGCTGTCGCGTTTCGTTTATCGCAATTTTTGCTATTTTAAAAATATGGAACAGTAATTAATCCTTTTTTTTGTTTGAAAATTATTTTTAATTGTTTGCGTACATGACAGATGGTTTCCTCTCCGAGACATGTTTTACTCGTGCTGGGCCGCAAAGAATTAAACGTGTTTTATTTAAAAAATTGTAAAAAGCTTTTGCTCCGACGAGTCTAGGATTCAAATGTCGCGGCAAACGGACGCCGCTTATCGCGCGCGACTCAGATGGCACACGACGGCAGATTGCGGCGAGCGCCTCTCTCTCTCCCCCAAGAGTCGCCGTTTAGCCGCGGCGGCGCTGGCGGCGCTTGTCCAGAAAGTGAGGAGCGGCGCCGCGACAGGGAGCGCCACCACGTGCGGGCAACTGCGTGCGTCAGTCACAGTATCCATCCGGTCGGTGCGGGACGTTTGGCGATCGCGCGAGCGGTTTACCGAACTGCCGAGTGCGAGCTCCGAGGAGTCCCGCTGGATGGACGTTTGAGGGGAGGCAGGGAGCGCGGGGGGCACGGCCGGTCGACGCCGAGAGAGCGTGCGGTGGATCGCAACGACGACGACGCTGAACGCTGCCGCCGCCGCCACCGCCGCTGCCTCCGTCGCCGTTCGCCACCGCACGGGAGGGACGCACTACCGTCAACGTACCTGTTGTGCGGCGAACTCCAGACATACAGGCTCGCCACGTACGCGATCGAGAGCGCGAGACACGCGAAGATCGCGGAGGCGCAGCTCGGCTCGCTATCGGTACACGGTTCCTCGGCCTCCATAACTCCATAACCGATGTCGGTCGCTTGTGTCGCGCTCCACTGCGGAAGGGGGGCTCGGTAATAAGCCCCGTGGCGTCGGCGGCGAGAGAGAGAGAGAGGGAGGGAGCGAGCGAGCGAGCGAACGAACGTGAGAGAGACAGAGGCGCCGCAGCGGCAGAGGGTTGAGGCGTCGGGACGGTGCGGGTCGAATGGGGGGTGGGGGGTGCACGGCACGCACTCGCGGGGCAGAAACTTGTCCGATTGGCGGCTGCCCTCTGGGCCAGTCGGCGAGCAGAGAGCAACAAGATGGCCGCCGTGCACGGTGGTAGTGTCGCTATTGTGTAGTGTGTCCTAAGCTTTTGGCAGCTTCTGGCCGCGGGTGTCCGCCGAACACGGTACCGCGGCGGCCGCCCTTACTGCCGGCGAGGGTACCGCCGGGCCTCGCGCATCCTCGCGGCCGTCAGGAACCGACGGAGCCGCGGATCGCCAGCGGAACAGGAGAGGCAGCAGCAGGAGGCGGCGGTGGGGGGTGGCGGAGGAGGAGGAGGAGGAGGAGGAGGGGGAGGGGGTGGAGGACGACAACGACGGCAACGAGGACGGACACGAGGACGACCGCCGAGGGCCGCCGACGACACGAAGATGCCGAGCGCGTCGTTTTCGTCGTCGCGCAGCTACGTGCGGAGGTCGCGTCGGAAAAACGGAGGAAACCGGATCCCCCTGCCGTCGAGAACGGGTAAGCGAGCGAGCGAGCGCGAGTGCAACGGAGAAGGAGCGAGTGAGGCGAGCGTGCGAGCGAGCGAGCGAGAGCGAGGAGACAAAGACCACGGGTCCCCGTGTCGCGGCTCCGTCCAGGACACCTCGTACGCGGGGCGCGCGACACGGTCTCCCCATTCCCGGACTCCGCCATCTCCGTCGCGCCTTTGTTCCCCCCCTCCCCTCC